TCCAGGTCCTTCAATTAACCTGGGCCTCTGTTTTCTTTATTAGCTCACCAGGTGATTCTGACACAGCAGAGTTTGAGAACCACTGGCTTAGATAACCAGATGTGCAAGTCTGGTAAAAGGGATTTAGCTAGGTCTGGAGATGTATATTTTGGAGCTTTAAAAAAAGAGTGCTAATGAGACTTATGGATAGGTCAACTCTCCCAGCTGATGAGTATAAAGTGGAGGAGGGGAGAAACTGTAGGACAATGAGTGATTGCATATATGTAGTTGGTGGGTAGACAAGGAAGAGCCTGAAAGACAGGCACATGAATTATTCAGCCTCAAGAAAGTGCAGAGAGCTCAGTTTCCCTTAAACTGGAATGTGGGCTCCGCAGGGACAGATACGTCAGGGTTACCTTATAGCTGGCATTGTGCCCAGCCCTTCAGAGTCACTTAATCAATATTTGTTTACTGAATGAATCAATGTATGACTAGCACAAAGTCTAAAGAGAAATTTTTAGGTATGCAGTCAAGTCACGTGTAGTAGTCTGAGGTCAAGAGGGCTGAAGTTTAAAGGATGGTTGATAGAGTTGGTCAGAAAGAAGCTATTACTATAAAAGAGATGGGGTGATTAAGTGTAAGCAGTGAATGTTCTGCTCTCATTTATAACTTTCATCATGAGACACTGGTGAGCAGTGTAAAGGCAATAAGTATGTACATGCATAATGCACATCCATATGATTATGTATCACAGGTATATATGTACCTGTTTGTATGCATGTATATCTGTGAAAGTATAGCTATTTAGCCCTAGAATCTTCATTGTACCTTGTTACTCTGTTGGTGTCCTGTAGCTGCCTACTTCAGGCTGTGAATCTCATGGGAAGTATCTCCCAGGAATCTCACAGGTTGTGGAGGGCTATCTTTGGGCATTTGGAACACAGACAAGGGTAACAGAATGCTCAGAACATGTCTCCAGTAAGCTGCGTAATCCATTTGCCACCCTCAATCTTTCAGAGATTGGTTGTTCCTCAAGAATATGTGTAATTTTTGAAAATTGCATAAAATATATGTAACCCTGCTCTAAGATTTGTTAAAAGCTTTTTAATTCTAGGTACACTTTTCCTTTGAAAGGATAACACTTTGTATCACAAAGCAGAGATGCTTATTAGCCTGCTCTCTGGGATCTGCAGATGAAGCATCCAACCTTTCTTCTATTTTGAGATGTCACATCCAACTGCCTCTTAATGAAGATTCATTTATTCTTTTCATGCTGTTAAGCATGGCCTTTAAAGACAGACTTCTTTCAGTCCACATGAATAGAGCCCATTACTGCTAATGGAAGTTTTGCACATGTCTGCAGAGGTGAACAGGCATTGAAATAATCTACATTCAGACTTTCACAGTCAGTTTTATTTAGCTGCCTTAAGGATTCCAATGAGGACCCCTTTTAGTCCCCAAATGCTGTTTGACATAGACTGTAGGAATCTGGTGGTGGCCTGAGGTTGTAACTTTAACAGGTGTAAGTATTTCTTTCCTCTGTTTCAGCTGAGAAGTTTTGAGACTGAAATATTCACAGCCATTAAGAGACATCCAGTTTAATTTCTCATCATGCATGTTCTGTAGTTCACATTAAGACCAGAGTATTGAAGGAATGGAGCAAGTGGACTTGTAGACATCAGATAGCTGGCCATGCTGTTGGCCATGGCATCTCAGGATGCTCAGAACTTCTTCCAGCCTCTCTCTTCCTGGATATCTAGGGTTTATGAAGCTCTCCAGCAAGCAGGAGATACATTATCTGCTTCGCTGGTTAACTTCAGCAAACAAGACTCTAAATTGAGTAATATGCTAGACCAGGACTTAAATGATATTCAGATTCTGGAAACTTGCTCTGAAGGTGAAGAAAAAGGCACTGATCGATGCCAAGAGAACACAGATTCCTAGTTTCTCAAAGGGGATCATTTCTCCTGTTGTAATAGTGATTTGCAGGACTCTGGCCAAAGTTCAAGCCCCAGACTTAGCCAACATGCAAAGGACTCTTGCTCCATAATGACCCTGTGGCCCAGTCAGACCCTTGATGACCAGAAGCCACCACATGTGCTTTTTTCTATTGTTGAGGAAGAACATCACCTTGAAAAGCAAAGGGGTAGCCTTCAACATGGCTTTGACAGCCACCTCTCTGGTATTTTAGAAAATGTCAATGGAAAAAAGCAAGGTAAGCTAGCCAGTAATCATTTTCTCTGGGTTTGTCCAAGGGAAATTTGTACTTATTTTATTTTTATTTGTTTCAGTTATCATTTGAATTGTATTTTTCTCTTGTATCTTTTCACACACTGGCTTCTTAATGAGTGATATAATCCTTAGGAATATTTTCAACATATGAAACTTTGGGAGATCCATATTGGTGGGCTCCATATTCCAAAATAATAGTTCTGAGCAAGTGAAATGGTGAAAATGAGTCTGTGGGTTCTGTTTGAGAAGCCCCTTGTGCATATGTCATGCTGTTTAAAATATCTTTAAAAATGTTCTCTCTTTTTTTTTTAAACTAGGTTAGGAATCTCTAGATGTTACTATATTATTCAGTGTGAAATCCTGTGCAAAAAGCCATACTCGTTGCAGAATTTTTAGTTGATAACACTCCAAGAACACTTCTCACAGTGTTGTACTGAGACGTGATGTGAGATGACAGTAGATAGGAAATCTTTGGAATAAGAATAGCTCGCTTTTCTTCTAGCCTTGAATGGAAAGGACACATTTAAAACAAACTGCCTATAGAGCATCATCCTGTCAGAACTGAGCATATAATAGGCCTTCAATAAATGCATAATGAATATGATGAAAATGTAATTAACTCTATAAAAGTAGCTGTAGTATGTTCTGGCATAAATTTCTCACACTTCTGTTATACTAAGCCTGAAGTAAGGACATTCCATTTTATTGACAGACAGAGAGGTACATGATAGACAGAGAAAGGTATTGGGTGTGTTTATAGGATGTGGATTTGTACACAAGCTCATGCAGATGGTTGGATCTCTTATGTTATATAAAGGTGAAATCATTAATTTTCTTCTTGTTGGCAGGAATAGATTTTTATGGAATACATTCTTAGTTTCTTCATCCATTTTCAGTGATTCCTTGTAGCTTTATTTTTTAGAGAAATGTTTTATCTAGATACATGAAGTCTTGGTAAATGAAGAAATATAATTTCATATTCTTTTTATAATGCTTTTTTGATCCTCTTACTAACTTAAAGTAATATTATATGCTAAAATAAATTGGTGAAAACAATTTAGACTAATATGCTTTCTGAATCTGATAAACTATAAATAGATGCAATTTCAAGTCTTTTAAAATTATCTATAGAGATAATCCTAGAAATGTCTGGCCTACTAATAGGATTTCTTAGACTTGACTTGAAATTTCTATTCCTATTTTAGAAAATTTTTGCTTAAGTTGAACTATATTTAAAATAATTAACATGAACTTGGCTCAATAAGTGTTTAACACTGGCTTCTTTTAATTTTTGTAATAATCTAATGGCAGTTAAACAATTGTGGTTAATTTGTTCATTCAGGAAATATTTGTAGCCTTATGGAAGCCTGGAGCCATGTAACAGATTCATTTCTGTATCCTCAATATCAAACACATGTTGAATGTATAATAGGACATCAAATAATAATTACCAATGGAACAACAAGGAAAGCTAACAACTCTAAATACTATTATTAATCTCACTTTACAGTTGAGAAAATTGTTGCTTAGAATTCACAAATATACCCAAGATTGACATTTAGGAAGAGGCAGAGCTTAGGTGGCTTCCCTGGTGGCTCAGAAAGCGAAGAATCTTCTTGTAATGAAGGAGACCTGGGTTCGATCCCTGGGTCAGAGAAGGAAATGGCAACCCACTCCAGTATTCTTGCCTGGAGAATTCATGGACAGAGGAGACTGATAGACTATAGTCCATAGGCTTGCAAAGAGTCGGGCACTACTGAGCAATTAACACCCACACAGAGCTTAGGTAGTCTAAAGCTAGAGTTTATACATGTAAGTTTCCTTGCCCCTAATCTTTTAAAAGTTACAATTTACATATAGTAAAATTTCTTCTTAGTGTACAGTTCTGTGAGTTTGACAAACATATGGTATCATCACCACCACTCAGGTATAAGACAGTTCCATCACCTCAAAAAACTCCCCCATTTGGAATCAATCCTTTTCCCTACTTCCAGTTCCTGGAAATTGCTGATATATTTTCTCTTTCTATTGTTTACCTTTTCCAGGATGTCATATAAGTGGAATCATGCAGTTTGTAGCCTTTCGAGTCTAATTCTTCCCATAATGTACTTACTGTAGTGCACTGGAGATCTATTCATGTTGTCCTGTGTTCCACTAGTTTGCTTTTTTGTTGCTGAATTATATTCCATTGCGTGATGGCCCCAGTTTGTTGATCCATTCATCTCTTGAGGGATATTTGTATTGTTTCCAGCTTTTAGCAATAGGAATAAAGGTGCTATAAATATTTATAGAACAGGTTTTTTGTTTTCAACGAGGCGAATGCCTATGAGTGATATTTTTGGTTCATATGGAAAGTATATGTTTAACTTTATAAAAAAAAATTCTGTTGTTTTCCAGGGTATAATTTTGTATTCTCAAAAGTTCTGTATGAGATTTCTAGTCACTCATATCCTTACAGTTGTGATATTATTATTATTAGCCATTCTCATCGATGTGGAGTGATAACTCATGTTGGGAGATAATTTTCCATTGGTGTCTTGCATGCGCTATGAGCAGGGCAGAGCCACAAACAGCCTTTTGTTTTGGATTTCAAGGGTGTTTGTATGACAGCCTTGGAAATTAGTGTCTCCCTCCAGAGCACAGAGGATATTTGTTTGCTATCCAGTCTAGTAAAGTAATGTTTCTCTTCAGGGCAAATCTTAGGCAAATTTGCTTGCAAATGATGGAGGTATTGCCTGGCTGTGACATAAACCCAACACTGCATGGAGTCTCTCTGGGCCTGCCTCTGGTGTTGCCCCTTTGATATATGGAGATATTGTGAGTAATAAATTGTCCTTTGTCTCTGACCCAGAAGTCTTGCATCTTTGCCAAAGTCTATAATACAGTAGCAGACAAACTTGTTATTGTGCAAATAGGGTAAAATCATAGATCTTTCATAGGTTTTTAACATCCCATTTGGCTTTCGTTTGTTTTTCCCTGATAAGTAATGACACTGAGCATATTTTCATGTAGTTGTATTCTGTAAGACATCTTTGTAGGGTCGTAAAATTTTTTGCCTACTTTCATTGAATTGTTTGTTTTCTTATTCTTGATATTTGAAAGTTATGTTGACATTCTGAATATGAGTTACCTTTTAGGTATGTACTTTAAAAATATTTTCTCCTAGTTCGGTGGCTTGAGTTTTTACTCTCTTCACAATATCCCTCAAAGAACAGATTCTTAATTAAATGAAACCCACCTTATCAAGTATTGCTTTTATGAATTGTGCTTTTGGTGTCATATCTAAATCTTTCTACTGTGCTGTATTCTAGAAATTTTCAAGTTATGAATTTTGCTTTCTTGTTGTTGTTCAGTTGCTCAGTCCTGTCCGACTTGTGACCTCATAAACTGCAGCATGCCAGGCTTCCTTGTCCTTCACTATCTCCCTGAGTTTGCTCAAACTTTGCATTTAGAGCTATGCCCCATTTTGAGTTAATTTTTTACCTGATGTAAGGTATGAATGAAGCCCTCTCCCCATATGGGTATCTGATAATTCCTACACCATTTGTTAAAATGACTATTCTTTCTCCATTGCTTGTTTTGATAACATTGTCAGAAATCNCTGAGACAGTAGTATTAAAGCCTTCAGCTCTACTTGTGGAATTGGCTATTTTTCTTTTTTCTGTTCTTCAATTTTTGCTTCATGTAGTTTGAAGCTCTATTGTTAAATACACACACACTTTAGAAATATATGTCTCCTTGGTGAATTGACCTATTGGTCATTATATAATACATCTTTTTGTATCCCTGGCAGTATTTCTTGACCTAAAGTCTACTTTGATATTAATGTGGCTACTCCAGCTTTCTTTTGATTAGTGTTGGCATGACATGTTTTTTTTTTTATTCTTTAACTTTAAACCTATCCTTATCTTTATAGTGGGATTCTTGTATGTGGCATATAATTGGGTCCTGCTTTTTTATCCAAGTTGACAATCTTTTACTTTTATTTGGTGTGTTTAGACTATTTGCATTTATTGTAATTATCAATAATGAACTAAGATCTGTCATTTTGTTAGATTTTTTTCTATTTGTTTCATCTATTCTTTGTTCTTCTATCTTGTTTTCTTCTGCATTCTTTTGGATTTAATATTTTTGTCATTCCATTTTATCTCCACTATGGGCTCATTATTTTTATCTCTTAAAAGAAAGTTTAATGATCGTCATAAAATTTTACAACATATAGTTTTAGTTAATCGCAGCCTATCTTGAAATAATACTGTACTACTTCAGTTATAGTTAGGCGATATTACAACAGTAAGCTATAAATTCTTTCTTCTCATCCTTCACTTTTTGCTACTACATATTTTACTTTTACATATTCAGTAATATTCAATATGCTGATACAGTTTTGTTTTAGATGGCTATCTCCTAGGATAATTAAAATAAGAATTCTATATTTACCTCATTTATGTTGTTTGAAGAACTCTTTAACTTTTCTTGTGCATATATGTAGCTAATAAATTATCTTAGTTGTTGTTTGTCTGAAAAATATTTAGTTTTGAAATACGTGTTAGATAGGTAAAGAATTCTGAGTTGACAGTTATTTTTCTTTCAGCATTTTAATGTTGCCATTTCACTGTCTTGTAGTTTGCATAGCTTTCATATGAGAAATATGCTATAATTCTTACTTTTGTTTCTCTGCATATAATGTGTCTTCCCACCCACCCCCCCAACTGGATGCCTTAGAGACTTTATATTTGGTTTTCAGAAGCATATATCTGGGCATGTGTGTATGCATTTCTATTAATACTGTATATGTGTATGTTTTTCTGGCATTCATTTTTACTGGTGTTCTCTGTCCTTGTGTCTGTGGTTTAGTGAGTTTCATTAGTTTTGGAAAATTCTTGACCATCACCTCCTCAAACATTTTTTCTAATCCATTCTGTCTTGTTCTTCTTGATATTCCAGTTATACAATTATTAGCCTGGTTGATATCATCCCATA